AAAAAAAAATAGAATTCAATGTCAGTAAAATGGAAATAGTGTGAAAACATTTATCTACGACATACAATGTATGTACATATGCTTAGTTTCTTCCATTCGACGGCCGTTCTTGTAGGTGGACCATGAGAATTAATTTTCCTCATAATTTCCTCCCACCGCTCCTCTACCCTTCCTCGATCAGAACCAAACACTGCAACACCTCTGGCCAGGTCAGGATTTCTCTCCATTTCTTTAACTAATACCTCAAATTGTGTGGTTGTAGTTTTTTTCAACGCTGCAAGCATAAATATTAATATATTTTCTTAAATCAAGTTATATTTTTTTATCTTCTTACTTTTTCTGGCAGAACCCTCCATCTTAACGATCACTAATAACCTTTCGTCTGTTTTCAACGATTGTCGTCTCACTTTCGTCTCCTATTCGCGTTAAAAAATTCCAAACTAGACGAACAACTACGTAACGATCAGCTGTTTTCGTGCTGCCAGACGATTTCGACTTACATACTACCAACGCACGAACGAAACGTCTGGCAGACGAAACGAACGTTCGCTTCGAGATACATAACAAGGCTGATTAACTCGTATCCGATTTCGATAACATTTACTTTTAAACCTCTATTTTATTAGAAAACACTAATTATAAAATATAGATAAGATTGGAGCACTATAACAGGTACAACAAGTTAAAAATGTGGGACCAATCATTAAATGTGATGGAATTTTGGATAATTTTTGTTTTCTGGTTTCCACTCTCAGAAAAGGAAAGATTATACTTAAAAATTGCATTGGTGTTAATATTTACTTTTCTCCAATATTTGGTGTGATTTTTCATTGTTCGAAAAATTTCTTTTCTCTTAATTCTTTTCTTTTAATTGAAAAATTAAGCATATCACAAATTACATATTTTTGCAAAGTGGCGCGAAGAGAGATGATAAGCTCAAAAACTACATGAAATTCTCTAAACAATGTGTCTAATTTCAAGACCGGTACTCACACTTATTTTTAACTAGCAGACCCGGCGAACTTCGTCTCGCCCAAAATTTTTATTTTTTTATTGAAGCTTTTTGGTCCAACATTTTCACCAACAATTCACGTTTACGATTTTCAGGCACATTCATCTGCTAAGATTATGGTTTGTGGGTAGTTTGCCGCTTTTAATAACCTAAAGAACAAAAAAAATAAATAAATAAGTGTTATATCCGTGAAGAAGTTCTTGAAATTCTCCAACTGTGCAGCATTTGATAGAACGGTTATTCGCGCAACGAAATAAATTTGAAGAATATAGTGAATCTGTCCTAGAAGCTCTACAGTATAGTTGGTGGCAATTTTAAAATGGGTGCGAATCATTGTTCTACAGAAATGCAATATACATACATATACTTATTTCAGACGAAATACCTTAAAAGCTTTACGCATAATAATATTCGAAATTCATATCCATTGGGCCAATCGTAACACAGGACAGTTCGATATACTCAATGGCGCAACACGTCGATTTAATCTGACCTTCATGGCACATTTTCTCACTTGCCTATTTTTAGTAATAACTCGACCTCAGCGCCACTTGGCAGCACGTTTTTGCAATAGTATTGCTCTTACCATTTCCAATACTCAACTTCAACAAACTCAACTACAGCGCCAACTGGCGGATAAAATTGTGAAACTAAACCGTCCGGAGACCCACTCAAACAAACATAGAAAATTTTGTTAAAATCCGTACAAACATTTAGGAGGATTTCCCTCATAAACACACCTACAAAGGAATTATAAATACATTCAAAGATAGCTAAAAGTCTGTACGTTTGTAGGCCTCACGCCCCCTTTTCAAATAACCCCAATTTTCTCCATGAGTATGGGCTTGATTTCATATATAAATATATAAATACATATCTCCATACGAAGTTCCTGTACTGTACCATGAATACTTTCAGAGATATGCAGTATAAAAATTCGGTTTGTATGGGAGGTGCCACGCCCCCTTTTCCAATAGTTTCCATTTTTCTGTACGAGTATGCGATTGATTTCATATATCTCCATACTAAGTTCCAATACTCTACCATGGACATTTCCAGTGATATGCAGTATGAAAATTCGGTTTGTATGGGAGGTGCCACGCCCCCTTTTCCAATAGTTTCCATTTTTCTGTACGAGTATGCGATTGATTTCATATATCTCCATACTAAGTTCCAATACTCTACCATGGACATTTCCAGTGATATGCAGTATGAAAATTCGGTTTGTATGGGAGGTGCCACGCCCCCTTTTCCAATAGTTTCCATTTTTCTGTACGAGTATGCGATTGATTTCATATATCTCCATACTAAGTTCCAATACTCTACCATGGACATTTCCAGTGATATGCAGTATGAAAATTCGGTTTGTATGGGAGGTGCCACGCCGCCTATTACAATAGCTCCAATTTTTCTCCAAGAGTATGCAATTGATTTCCCATATCTCCACACTTCCAGAGATATCCAGTATGAACAATTCGGTTTGTATTGGAGGTGCCACGCCCCCTTTTCCAATAGCTCCAATTTTTCTACAAGAGTATGCGATTAATTCCGTTCTTCTCCATACCAAGTTCCAGAACTCTACCGTTAACACTTTCAGAGATACGTACTATGAAATATTTTGCTTTTCTCCAAGACTATTCGATTGATTTCGTATATCTCCATACCAAGATCCAGAACTCTACCAGGAACACTTTCAGAGATATGCAGCATGAGAAATTCGGTTTGTAAAGGGATGTTCCATGCCCCCTTTTCCAATAGCTCAAATTTTTCTCCATGAGTATGCGATTGATTTCGTATATCTCCATACGAAGTTCCAGAACTCTACCATGAACACTTCCAGAGATATGGAGTATGAAAAAATTCGGTTTGTATTGGAAATGCCATGCCCCTTTACATATAGAATTTTTTAAGCCTAAAACCATACTTGGGACACGTGCGGCAGGTGTCTGAAGTTTCAAAAAAATCGGTTCAGCCGTTCTTGAGCTTGACGAACACTAAAGAAAGGGCTTCAAATATATGTATTAGTATAGACATATTATATATGTAGGTTTTACTTCTCTTTATTAATTTATATTAATTAATTACAAAACTTACAAAACTATTAACAAAGGTTAGGACCACAAGTGTCGGGAAAAAGATGAAAAGCGAATGAATGAAAAGATTTTGACATTTGTTAAAGTTACGTTGGCTGTGATTTGTGCTGTTGGAAGCTGTGCCGACAACAGAGTTGCCACAGTACTCCTCTCGGGGTAAGTGCGTCGGAATGTTACTATTGGTCGTGTGTCAAAAAAGCAGGTTTCATACGATCGATCGAAGCTTTTGTTTCCCTACCATTCACATCGATTACGTAGTACTTTTGCCGTCGTCTCACAACCCTGTACCGACCCGAATACGGCGGTGACAGTGATGGTCTTATCTGGTCATCTCTCACAAAAACCCGGTCGCAGGTTTTCAGTTGCAGATGGACAAAAGGCTTTCGAACAGAATGCCAGGCAGTATCGACGTTTTTAACGTCCGATGCCACCGCTCCACTATCCCATTTTTTTGCGGATGGTACGGTGTTGTGCGTAAAATATGGACTCCCAATGCTTTCACGAGCTCCTGAAATACTGAGCCTATGAATTGTCGTCCCAAGTCGGAAGTGATATCGACAGCAACTCCAAATCGCGCAATCCAGCCGTTAATTAGCGCTCGTGACACGGTACATGCCGTCGAGTCAGCGATAGGAATAGCTTCTGGCCAACGCGTAAAGCGGTCGATAATAGTCAGACAGCATCGACATCCATCTGCTAACGGAAATGGTCCGACCACGTCGAAACTTCCGTGTTATAAACGGTCGTATACGGTCGTTGGAGATGTCACAGTAAGCACTGCGATTGCTGAAAGGAAGAGCAAAACGTTTAAGATTTAACGAACTGGTACTACCTTCACCCAGAAACATTCTGAGTTCCTCGTCGTGGCTCTGATCTTCCGCTAGCTCGTCGTAGCTTATCGGAGGTGCGTCGATTTGTTGAACACGATCTTCATTCTGCAGACTGATATCGGTTTGGACCACTTCTGAATCGACACTGTTCCGTTGTATGCGGGAAAGAAGATCAGCAACGATGTTACTTTGACCTTCGACAAATCTTATGTCTGTTGTGATTTGACCGATAAAGTCCAGTTGACGCGCCTGTCGATCTGACGCCTTATCGAGCTTTTACTTAAAAGCAAAAGTCAAAGGCTTGTGATCGGTGTAAATATGGCAGCACCTTCCTTCGATGAGATAGCGAAAGTAACGTGTCGCTAAGTACATGGCGGTCAACTCCCTATCATAGGTGCTGTATCTAGACTCGGCGCCGGAAAATTTGCGTGAAAAGAACGCAAGCGGTTCCACCTTATTATTGGTAATCTGGTTTAGGACGGCACCTGCAGAAAAATTAGAGGCGTCAACCCATAATGAAAGTTCGGCGTTTGGTGACGGATGCGCAAGTAAAGCGCAGTTAGCTATTTGTTTCTTACATTCTTCGAAACAGTGTATGGTTTTTGCTGTCCATTCCATTGTAAGCTGGAACTGTCATTACGGAGGTTGCCCGGAACCATTTCGAACAGCGGTCCTTGAAAGTTTATCGCATTTTTCAAAAACCGACGATAAAAATTCATCATCGCCAAAAATCGCTTGAGCTCTTTGGCGACTGTGGGTAGCGGGTACTCCACCAGTGCTTTTACATGATCCGAAAGCGGGAGTTTACCTTCGCCAGTGATACGATGGCCGAGAAAGTTTAGCTCCGTCACGCCAAATTGTGACTTGGCAACATTAATCGTCAGGCAATTTTCTTTTAAGCGATGAAAAACTGTCTGCAAGTGCTGCTCGTGTTCTGCGGGTGTTGTCGAAGCGATGCAAATATCGTCCAGATAAGCAAAAACGAAGTCTAGACCTCGCAAAACCTCGTGAATTAACCTCTGAAAGGTTTGCGCCGCGGTGCGCAAGCCGAAGGTCATGTAGGTGAATTCGTAGAGTTCAAAAGGCGTAGTAATCGCCGTTTTG